GGGTCACCCTCATGTCTCTTCTTGGTGCCGAAGGACCAGATTCTAACGGGAACTATCTCATTCCATGTCAGTCGACCATGACCTGGAACTTTTACGGCTCTCAAATGCGAAATTACACATTCAACCTCGCGGACACGACAACTGATAACGGAAGCGGGTTTTGCAATCCCTCTGCCAATGATGCTGGTGACACCACGAACTGGATAACTGGTGCCCCATTCCTCCATCAATACTACATTGCTTTCCACTACGCGGCGAACCTGATGGGGTTCGCAACGCGGAATCTGGGTGCCAGTGCTGCGCATAGCTCGCCATACTTCAGCTAAGAAGTGCAGTTAGCCGATGTTTGCCGAATTGTTTAATCAGCCAGCATACAGTCAGTTATACCACTGTTCGAGTTATTGCTCCCACAATTGTCCGGAATAAATAATCCCGCATATATTCTCCACTTGTAAATCAATATTCACAAGTCGGCTCGGATGAACCAGAGTATTGTTACATAATGTGGCTCGACGCATGAAAGGTACTGTGTATCAACATTACTTAGGCAATGCTAATACAGGAATACCCGGTCTCGCTGATGTAACTGACTCCGTACACCGATGTGCCCTGACAATATTGTATATGATTTTTCATTTTCGTTAATCCTCCTTAACTTCTTTCCTGCTCATCTTGGCTCCCTCTATTCAATTCGTACCTACTGAGTACATGCCGTGCGAGTCATTTCGCCCGACACTCCGATAAGTAAATATCCGCTCGAAAAACAGGTCGGTCCTCAGGGCGTCCGGAGTGAATTGGATCAGGTGGCATGCGACTGAATCAATGTCTGCCCGCCGTGATCGGACCAATTCAAAGCAACGAGCAGGAGTTTGCCTCGTGTTCTCGATTCATGCGTTGCTAGCGCCCGAACAGCGGAACGACGGTGGCTTCCGCTGCAGCCCATGCAACCCTCAACGGGCTCTCTCTCTTGAAGCACTCTAGGATGAAATCGTATATAAGTACTCCCACGCCGACATGGTTGCTCTCCATCGGCCTCGCACTCCTTAACATTTTCTACTGGCCGTCATGTTTTCCTTCTTCAAGCCTTCAACCCTCGTCGCCATAGGCGCCGTGATCTTGTTCCTTCTTCAGTTCGCTCAAGCCTACATCGTCTTCTCAACAGATTCCGTCGTTAGTTATTCACCATCCGGGTCTTGGTTCATTCTGGACGAGCCAGGCTCTGCTGGGTGCGGCACCGAATTTCTCCTTGGCGCTCGCAGCAACGGGATTGTTACCTTCACCTTTCCCGGTGTGTTCATTCTCGATCTTGTGCCTTACCGCTCATTTCCTGTCATAGCTCCGTCGACGACTCTACAGTGGTGGGGATTTCAACGTTCTGATGGCGGTGTAGCGCAGGTCTGCGTCGATAATCTGCCTTGCACCCAGTTTTCATACAAGAATGCCTCCACGAACGGCTCCGAAAATCCTCGCCTTCTGGCAAACATCACAGGGTTGACGAACAAAGTCCACACTGTGACGATTACGAATGTGTTGGACACATCCGTCAACGCTTTTGGACAACTGACTGTTGATCGATTCGTCCTCAGCGGCAGCCTTCCGGCCCCAACATTCCCGTCTAACACGTTCATCTCATCGGTTCCTCTTGGATTTGCCTACCATGCACCGATCATTCTGGGGGGGAACAAACCTGCACTGAATGTGCTGCTCGACACTGGTGCACCGAACGTCTGGGTCATCTCAAACTTATGCAACTCGAACAATTGCGCCGGACACAACAAGTACGCGCCTGGACCCGGCTTTCAAAATCTCAGCATCCAGGATACGGCAGTGTTTGGTAGTGGCGGACCGGATAATACCTTGGTTACGTGGCGGGTCAATGATAGCGTGACCTGGGGAACTTCGACAATCGCGGAAACCACCATAGGCGCTGCGGTCGGGATCCCAACAGGCGAAACGCTCGACGGAAACTTCGGCATGGCGAAGTCTGCATATGCCAAGTGCGGGGCTGGTAACTACAACAACTTCTTGGAGAACATGTTTATGCAAGGAGATATCGTCAACGCCGTCATAGCTTTGTATCAACTAGACGGTTCCGAGGGCGCCCCATCCGGTGTCACCTCCGAGGGATCGATTGGCGGTCTCGATGCAAACAAGTTCACTGGCAGTATTGACTGGATCCAGATGAACCCCCAAGGACAATGGCAAAGCCCCGCATCCCAACGTATTGTTAAAACTTCGTCATCGTCCAGCGGTGTTGATGCGACCAATCTGTTCAACCACCCAGTACTCGCATTCGACACCGGCGATAACCAACTATTGGGCCTTCCCCATGATGACTGGCTCACGCTCATGTCCCTGCTCGGTGCGCAAGGCTCCGACAGTAACGGCAATTTCCTCATTCCCTGTGGATCGACAATGACATACAACTTCTTCGGCACAAAGAACCGCGAGTACACATTCAGTATTGCTGACACTACCACCAACAATGGCCAGGGCTTCTGCAAGCCAACAGTCATCGATTCGGGCTCCACGACCAATTGGATCACCGGTATGCCGTTCCTCCATCAGTACTACGTTGCATTCCACTACACCGCGAACATGATGGGCTTTGGAACGCGCAATTTGGGTGCAAGCGCAGCGCAGAGCAAGCCGTTCGTCGGTTGAGAAGTAAAGTCCGTCGTGGGTGGCCGTGGATCGCTAGGCATGTGCATTAAGCCCGAAAGGAGATCTTCTGTTGCTTTTGATCATGTACCTCAATACCTTGCCAAATAGATCTTGGGTGTTATGAGGTAGCGTTTGCCAGAAGCGCAGTATCACTGCGTAGTTGCCG